CTCGATTTTCTCCCTTTTTATACCAATTCACTGTGGTTGAAAGAGTTGGTTTATGCTTTCTCTTTACCTCAGAAAATATTGTTATTGCTTTCATTTTATAACCCCTGCTACATAAAATTCCAAATGTATACAAAAGAGACAGATTGCCAAGGATGTGGGGCAGAGTATGATTGCTTCTTTTATGGATGAGTGTTCCCTTTACAAAAAATTCACAGTGCATGCATCCTACTAAATTCCAAGTTCCGTAATACTTTTTATGTTTTCAGTTTATTTGTTTTGTTTTTCACGTTGTCTCCTAAGATATTTTTAAGCAAAAGTTAAAGAGACTTTTTTAAGATTTTTTAAGTTGAAAGAGAGATTTTTCCATCTGCCCCCAAAGACACTGCTATCAAGCATAAAATTATAAAAAGTTATAACCCCACATTTCTTTTTGCTTTGGCATGCTCTGCTCCCAACAAATTATCTTCCTCTCCGACCTCAGTTCTCCCTATACTTTCCCTTCTCAACCTCAAGAAATCCCACTCTTCCTTTAATGCAAAATTCAAATGTCATCTCTGCTGGGATTCCTTCTTTTCACATGAAGCTTTAGCCAACCCCTTACCCTGAGCTTCTGCAGCTCTTATTCAGAGGCCTAATATAAACTTATCATTGTGTAGTATACATTATATTTTCCCCCATGAGACAGTTCACTCCTAGAGGGCAGGATCATGTCTGGAATAGTAGTCAGGCATAAACCCTTCCCAGTTACTCACATACTATTTCATACCAATTTCACACTTGACAATGTTTCACATGATATTTTGCCAAGGTAATTCCAAGACATCTCCTAGGGACTGGAGAAGAATATGTAGCTTTCCTTTGATATTTGGATACTTTCTCCACTTTGCTCATTAAATTTGATGGGAAAACAATTCAGAGTTAGAGTCATTTTTCTAATTCTTACTTATTTCTGGGTACCCTTGGATTAATCTCTTAACATTTTTCTGCCTCAGGTACATCATCTGAACATAGGGAATAGATGACCTACTTGCCTCCTTAAATCATTTTATCCTCCAATAAGATCATAGATTAGATAAAGTGTATTTTAGAAAATAAGATCTTATTAGTATTGAATTAGATGTTCTGAATAATCTGAGACTGCACAGGGAGGAACAGATGTAAATACCAGGAAAGCAAGGAGACACTCATCACTCTCTATCACTGAGGAGCAATCTTTATAAACATCAAACCACAAAGACGTAGAGAAGTCAACATTTAAAGCAGTTACAAGGGTTGGCTGATACTCCATTAAACTCTTAAACTATAGCTGTGAGGTTTTTATTTTTTTTTATCTTTTTTTTGAGGGAGGGGAAGAGATGGTACACAGAGGAGCAAAGAGAGATAGAAGCATAAGAATGCACCCAGCTTGCATGAAATTCATTGGATAATTGGTTCAATTTTTATTTAGCTTACCCAGGGTAAAAATTTGGGTGTGGCTGAAAAACAGCTTCAAGGGGGTCAGCAGCGTTGCACTCTAGCTGTCACTCTTCCACTGCCATATGTGTGAATTTGGCGAGTCCTTTAATGCTTGGCACCTGTTTCTCCATATTTCAAATAGGGTGGGGACTATTATGTATCCTGTTTTCTCAGCACTTGTAGCATTCTTAGATACTACTAGGTATAATGTTTCACTATATAAATATAAATACAATATAAATATGTTTTTATTTATATAAAATATAAGTATTATATATAATGTTTAATTTGTTAATTTAAAGACTAAATATGCATAGATATGTAAATGAGACTGCTAGCCTAGATGGTTTAGACCTCTTTTAAATATAACGTTCAGGAGGATGCAATACCAGCTGCCCTGTGTTCTTCTTAATAACAAGTGGTAGGACTCTGCTTTTCTTGTCCAGGGTGTTAAATATAATGTAAAAGAGTTAGAAAGAATTTCACACAACTCTATAAAATATTACCTCTATTACCAGGCACAAGTTGTTTCCTTGGGCCTCGGTTTTTCCATCTGTAAAATGACAACACCTAATCAGATTGTGGAGAGGACTCAATATGAGCATGAAAAACATGTAGCCCATACAGGCCACATAGTGGACGCTTCATAAATATTCATATCCTTCTTGCTTTTCTTCTGTAGTAGCCTGTACAAGGCCCATGCCTAGTACGTGCTCAATAACTTGTTGACTGATTATTTGTGGTTTGAAATTTCTCACTCACAGTCCGTGTGTTCACCTATGCATTTTAAATCTTATGGGAATTTCTGCTCCACTAAAGCTGCAAATCCTTTCAAAATTTCCTACTCACCAAAGTATGTCTTAGTAAAATATGGATAGAAAAAAATCCTAATTGCTCAGTGAGCATAGAAAATCTCCAAGGTTTTATTTATTGAAAAGTTAAGGTCCCTGTAAATTGAGTTTCTCATTCTTGCTCAAGGCTGACTCAGAACTGACTCAGAATTGGAAACAGGTGAGAGCTTGATACATCTTTAGTTTCTACAGAATAGCAGACTTCTCCTTGAAATTCTTTCATATAACCCAATGTAATTGACTTGCATGATTCTTTCACATAAGCCACTGAAATCGTGGGAAGGAAAGTAAGTTACTTCCACTTATCCAGACCTTCAGCAATACAAAAAGGATCTTTTTCATTAAAAAAATACTTTTGTTCATTTGAAAGCAAACGTTTTAACCTTCAAGAGAAAGTTAATATTGAGAATCAGTGCTTGAAATTTTATGTACTGGTAACACCAAATGAATCATAGGGACAAAGCCCAAGGGTAAGGCATGTTTCCACCACTCTGATTCTTTACGTTTAACCTTAAAGACAGCATTTTCCAAGCCTGGAATTGTAGTATGAGTTATATTCTCTCTGAAAGTAACAGCTAAGTATGCTATTTATAAAATCACTACAACCGAACTATTTAGCCTCTTTTATTCTTAACCATCTCTGAGGTAAGCTGGCTACTCCTGTCTTTATCACACTGGGAGGGTTTTGCTCAACTATTTAATTATGAACTGGCTTCTCTTGTACAAAGTGAAGGTGACAGTAGCCCGGGTCACCCTACCCGCCATTTTGTTATGTCAAAACTTTCTAGTTATTGGAGAAGTGACAACGACCAGTCAGTACAAATAATATATGGGGGAGGTCAAAATAGGAAACATAATATCACCTCCAGGATAAGTATATTGCTGAAGGATTGACTTACCCACTATTTCTTCTCTCCAAGTTTCATTTCCATGGAATAAATGACTAAAAACGAGTCACTCCCATATCATCCAAGCTACCAGTGAAACAAGAAAATAGCAAGCCAGCAAACAAAGGTGATGTGCCTAGCAAACATGGGCATATTATGGGATCATTGCATAATCTCTGGGATCTCTGACTTCACAAGCTGCTGGTGGCATTTCTGTTGATGAGTCTCCTGTCTTTTTCCTTAGATTAATTTCTCTCTCTGACATTTTATTCTCATATTGTTTCTTCTTCATTGGGGTGGATTGTTCTTGTGAAGCATAATTTTATTTTATTTTCTCTTTATCTTTTCTCCTTCCTCCCTCCCTCACCCTCACCTGTTTTGATTCTTTTCCCTTCAAACCATTACATTTTTTTTAAAAGGAGAGATTTGTAAAAATTCCTCATTCACACACATTTGTGAAGCCTTTCACTTCGTGTTTCCTTCCTAGGAGAGGTGACTCATTTTTCTCACTTTGACATACATGTAGCAATTTACCATATCCTGGTTTACCTACTTTTTTTCTTTTTACTGTAATTCCTTTGGGGGGTATGGGGGTGTTCAACTTTATGTCTCTTGCTATTTTTCTAACCTGTTTACTTTGCTGTCTGATAAAGTGGCTCGCTCTTTGCCCCCTTCTTTGCTGGTCAACTTATCACTTATGGATCCACTATCAAAGATATAGGCTTTTTTGGTGGGGGGAGGGGTTTCTATACCTGTAATGTTGGCTTCAACTGTGAATTTTTTGCCAAAGGCCTAGGACTATTGAATTTTTATAAAAACTTTTTGTTTATGCTAACTCTAATATTTCCTCTGTCTTTTGGCATCCCCAAAGAGATATCCCCATGGGGGTCTTTTTTTCATAAAAATTATGTTTATCTATTTATGTTCTAGTGATAGCCATAGCCCCAAGATAGCCAACATTTAATCAGCCTCAAACACTACTACATATCTATTTCTTTAATTTGTTATATTTGGCCTTTTAAGCCCCTCAAGAATCCAACCATGACAATTTCTGTTTTTTGGTTTGTTTGGGTTTTTTTGTTTGTTTTTTAATGTATTAACACCAATTTGCCACTCAACTTCATTAGCACCCCATATTCTTTATTCTTGTCTTTTTCTCTTTTAATCCAGTTAACCACAACATTTGGCTTGATCACCCTACACAGGACCCGCAATGAATATTATTCCTTAAACAACTATCACTTTCAAAAACCAACTTGCCTTTTGCATTCAAAGCCCACACAAGCTATGTCAGATCACAGACAAGGAAAAGGAGACAGGAAGCCCCTAATCAAAGAAACAAACATAACAATCAGCTTTTATAACCCTGGATGTGGGTCTGTGTTTGTAATATGTGTGTTTCATTGAATATTAATAGCACTTTATGTGAATATTTTTGAGGACAGGAGCACATTGTCTCATACCATTGACTTTCACAAATATCATGTTATTATGATTATTTAAAAAAATACATATAAATTAAGATAAAATATTACCCAGCAGGAAATCAAAGTGAAAAAAAAATCCTCTTAAAGTTCTGTATGTCATTACTGGCTGTCTCCCAATTCTCCTGACTCATCAGCATCTCTTTAAACAGTCCTTACACTTATAAACATCCTTTCAAATACTTGGTGTCTAACTGCTGCAGCTAGCTAGCCTCTAACACCATCAGCATCATTACTAGTTTTCTGTTGTTTTGATTTTTTTACTCGGTAGAGTTCCCTGTACAGAGGTTCCACCTTCCCCAGCATTTAGTATTAAAACTTACCGCTTTTACCAACTCCCCCCGCTCCCAGCATGACCACCTTGTACTCTCTGGACCCGCCTGATGCGCTGCTGGGGGAGCAGCTGGCTTCGTTTTCTACCTCCATCTTCCCCGAGGGACCGGAGGAGAATGAAGAAGGAAAAAGTCACCCGTGTCAGGTGCTTGCTCAGATATTAAGCAACCCTAAAACTGTGTCAAAAGAAAGGTTTAGTACGATGTAAGAACCATCAGCGTCGGACTGGCTGCTGGTCCTGTGCTCGCGGGTCTCATAGCAACCACTTCAATTGCCTCCAATAAAAATGTGGCTTTTACCTACCCTCCCCTCCTGCCGATCCTTCACTCTTTCAAGTCTCCCTACGATTTCTCTCTCTCTCTCTCCCTCTCTCTCTCTCTCTCTCTCTCTCTCTCTCCCTCTCCCTCCCTCCTCTGTTTCTTTCCCCATTCCCCTTCCTCACTCTGTCTCTCTCCAGTTTCCTTCTTGCCCCCTGCACAGCCCCANCAATTGCCTCCAATAAAAATGTGGCTTTTACCTACCCTCCCCTCCTGCCGATCCTTCACTCTTTCAAGTCTCCCTACGATTTCTCTCTCTCTCTCCCCCTCTCCCCCTCTCTCCCTCTCTCCCTCTCTCCCTCTCCCTCCCTCCTCTGTTTCTTTCCCCATTCCCCTTCCTCACTCTGTCTCTCTCCAGTTTCCTTCTTGCCCCCTGCACAGCCCCAATTGTCAGAGGCACACACGCTTTGCTGCCTTCCAGGCTGGGCTGCTAGAGTGGAGTGAATCTGAGACTTAGAAGATTTTGTGTCTCACAGGCTGATTTCAGTCTGTAGCTACAGCTTCAAAGAAGCGATTTGCTTCTAATCCGAGTCAATTAACCAAGAAAGATGTCTGTTGCTTATTTCCTTGCTTTTTATCACCATATTTGTGCACAGTTCTCATTCTGGGAAAAGGGTTGCTACCAGTTTAGAAGAAACAAACAAACAAACAAAAAAACACGACCTTTCGTATTGAAATAATAGCTGGCTAGCAGAACTGTGTCAGCTCACTTGACAGCTGCAGTTCCAACAGGAGGCGATATTTGAATTAGGTCATTGTCATGTTTGGACATGGGATCACCCTTGTCTGTACCAGGTTATTAGGAACAGCCTAAGACACAAGGACCCTGCAAACATGAAAGACATAATTAAATATTTCTGCTGACAATTATGGTAGCATTAAACATCATTGAAGACTATTTTTCAAATATCCAGACTCCTGCCTCTTCTTGGAATTCTTTTAAAGCTTTACAGTCTTTGTTTTTCCCTGGAAAGCTTCAAAACTACAAAAGATATTAGAATGCTTTCAATAATCCCTAGTTGTCATAGACCCTATCCTTCAAACAAAATGAAGGAGATGTTCTGTATGTTTATTGTCTATTTTTTGTTTGTGAAATTGGATTATGATTAGAGGCAGCCAAGAGTTTGGTGTGCATAGGCTTATCTTTCTATCTGGATTTTAAGATCCTCTAAGACAGAAACCGTATTTAATCAGTTCCTTATGACTACTGCATACAGTCAAGTGTTGTGCAGAGTAGGTGCTCAATATATTATTACTGGTAATTGGAGAGGTGTCATATAGTCATAGACAACGGCACAGGCTCTGGAGCCTGACTGCTTGTGTACAAATCTGGTCTCAGACACTTACTAGCTGTGTGACCTTGGGTAAATTAATTGACTTTTCTGTGCCTTAGTGTCTTTATAAAATGCCTTTTATCAAAGCCCTACTTCATTAACTCATTAAGTGAGCTGAATGCTTGTGCAGTGCTTAAAACAGTGTCTGGAAAATTGTAATCAGCATATAAGTGTATGACATTATCATTATTATATTACTGTTTGGAGTTAGTACTGCTCCCAGCCCACTGTATATAAGCACTCACCAGAAGAGAAGATCATGTCTTCACCTGTTTATTGGCATCTGTATATCTTCTTTGCTAAAGTAGCTATTCAAGCCTTTTGTCTATTTTATTTCAAGATTTGTTTGTTTGTTTCCTTTTTCTGTATTATTGAGTTTTGAGAGTACTTTATATATTCTAGATGTAAGCCTTTTATCAGATACATGTTTTGAAAATATTTTCCCCCCAGCCTGTGGCTTTTCTTAACAGTGTCTTTCAAAGAACAGGAGTTTTAAATTTTGATGGAGTCCAATTTGTCTTTTTTTTTCTTTTGTGGATGATCCATCAGGTTTTAAATGACACCCTGTCCAAAGATTTTCTTCCCAATTCTCTTTTCATCTTTTTTACTCCTTCATTATAACTTTGCTCATTGTCATAGTTCTATTTATATCTCCCTGAGAATAACTGCTAAGTTTTTAACTCTAGACCCAATTTTCCCTCTTGAGCGTCAAAAGTATGTCCGAAAAGACATCACTCTTATTCTCAATAACAAAGTCAACACTGTCTGTCTTTGTAGGGTGCGTCGCCTCCCTCCAAGTCCTAGCTTTACTTTGGCCTCTTCTTATATCTGACCTCCATTACTGAAAGAACTTCATAACTTATCCTTCCTGAGGACAATCTTCCTGCCCTTTCCCCTTTTCACACCACTCAATTCATCCTGTACACTGATGTCAGGGAAATTCACCTAACATGTCAACCTGACTGACTGGCTGACTCTATTGTACACATATTCATAAATCACATGCCTAAATAATGCAATCCAATAGCTTAGAATGGGAGACAGGGGCACAACGCATTTATTCTAGACGCATGCCCTCACACTTGATAAAGTCAGGCAACCTGGGATACTTGCCTTTCCTCCAACAAAACTGTCATTTCCATAATTGTGTCTAACAAAGAACTATAGCTATATTATAATTATCCTGTCATTGACTCATTGAAACTTTATTCCTCAATGAAAAGAGGCATGTAAACAATAGCATTTAGCTTCAAGGTCTTTCTGGTTTGGGTTTCTACTTCTGGTGCAGACATTCATATGACATTGAGCAAATCACTTACCCCTGTAGCTATCTGTCCCACCATCTGTTACTCTGTTTTCCATGTCAGCCATTCTGATTTGGTGGTAAAGCACAGGAGTTCTAATGCCAGCTGTGTCCTTGGTGCTGTTTTGTTGTTGTTCTTTTTTCCCCTGTGTATTTTAATATTAAGAGAGGGGAATCCATGGAAATGTCCTTTAACAGTAAATAATTGAATGGCTTGCCAAATATCACAGGGCCACTACGAGAGGGAAATTTAACTAGTCGATGGGCTTTCTTCTCAATAGCTAATATATCTGTTCATATTCCTCTAAGTAAAGATTTTCCCCCACTTGCATGAAAAACATGACCTAGAGGGAGGCTTTCCTAGCTATAAAGCTTTTTCTGTCTACCTTTTCTTTGAAATTCTAAGGCACTCCATTTTGTCCCTTCTGGAGTTACTAAGGGCCTGAATGATAATGGTTGAACTTTGGAGGATTCAAATGCTACTGCTTTTCAGTTTTAGTTAGTGAACTTTGTGAATTTGCATGATTTGTGCTTTGACCAGTGCACCCAAGAATCTAAGGTGTGTGTTTGGTGTGTGTGTGTGTGTGTGTGTGTGTGTGTGTGTGTGTGTGTGTGTGAGATAGAGAGAGAGAGAAAGAGAGAGAGAGA